CTGTTCACAAATGCTCTCCATCCAACCTCACTGAGCTTGAGCTGTTTTGCAAGGAGGAATGGGCAAAATTTAAGTCTCTTGATGTGCAAAACTGATAGAGACATACCCCAAGCGACTTACAGCTGTAATCGGAGCAAAAGGTGGCGCTACAAAGTATTAACTTAAGGGGGCTGAATAATTTTGCACGGCCAATTTTTCAGTTTTTTATTTGTTAAAAAAGTTTGAAATATCCAATAAATTTTGTTCCACTTCATGATTGTGTCCCACTTGTTGTTGATTCTTCACAAAAAATTACAGTTTTATATCTTTATGTTTGAAGCCTGAAATGTGGCAAAAGGTCGCAAAGTTTAAGGGGGCCGAATACTTTTGCAAGGCACTGTAATTAGTACTCAGTTTCGTAGTACTCAGTTTAGCAGGCCTTTCTTGGAAATATATGAGTAATTAAAAAAAAAGACCGAACAATATTTAGGAAATTATGAGAAACATTTCGAGGAAATTAGCTGCAAAATAGCCTGTGAATTAAAGCATTACCAAATATTCCAGTTAGCTCTTCCGTGAAGTTGGGACATTTGTGAGGCAGAATAAAACAAGAATGAATTATTCCAAAATTGTAACCAAAATATCCTGACTTTCCCTAGTCCCTAATACTGTATGAGGACACCTCCGGAACATATGCGTGACTGGTAGTGCAGACACATTTAGATATCATCCATAAAACTTTACATCAAAAGTATTGAATACCTGCAGCTACAGTATATATGCAATGTTGATGGGAGGTTAGATAAACAATGGAATGAACATTCATAATATATAATGTGTTACTATGACCATCAGTTTGAAGTGGATCACAATGAGAACCAGAAAGTTTAACAATTACTGTGTCTGACACCAGCATGGCTCACATAATTGAGAACCTTCCTGACATTGTACTGCCTTTTAATGTAAGCCTCTGCAGTACTGTGCTATAAACAAATTCAAACAAACTGTTTGACACAGATCAGAGTTGTTCTGCATGACCTGAGGAAAATCTACTTTGGATCAAAATATTTTCATTAAATAGTGGTGACATGCAGTGCAGGTGTTTTTCCTTTCATTAGTTTGTGTTTTTTATCTAGATAAGCCTGAATGTCATCCTGCATCATTACCGACAGCTAGAGATTAAAAGGATGGAGGAGGGAGAGAGAGGAGGATGGAGAGCAGGAGAGACAGAGTGAGGAGTGGGGAGAAAGAGAGAGAAAGAGAGGGAAGAAAGAACACAATGGACTAACATGGTGCTGTTGGCAGTTGAGCTGGACAGAGCGGTGCTCGAGATCACGCCACACTTGGAGCATTTCAGGAGCAGTCGGCTACGCGCCTCCGCTGGGACACTTAGGACATGTGTATGCACACACACATAAACACACACACACACACAACCATGTGGGGAGGAGAGAGGAGTGGGGGATGTGTGGAAACACAAGTTCCAAGTTATGACAACGGGTGAATATGCAGGTGTCACAATTGCAAAAGAACCAAAAGAGAGAGAAAAAAGTGGACACAACAAAGAGAGGGAGGGGAAAAGAAAAAGGGGAGGGGAGGGAGAAAAGAAGGCAAATTAAAACCAGATCTTAAAGAGTAGCAGCAATGAAAAACAGTCAGAATACAAAGATTGATTAAGAACAAGTAGAGAGAACATGAGAGACGAACATCGCAATGTTACGGCAAAGTCATATGGGTTAACAGATTACAGTGACACAGACAGGATATACACTGATCATCTTATTCCACTGCTAGTGTGTGTTATTTATCAATTCATGTGACTTTGCACAATGAGGCTATATTATGATATGAGAGAAGAAGACGACTCCTTCGGTTGTTTACTTACAGTTGACTACTCAGATGGAGAGTAACAGCATGTGGGCATGTGCATATGTGTGTGCCAGAGAATGATGGAAGCGCACACACAGGCTATGCTACATTAGCATCCCATCACAGCTCATTGCCTTAGTGCCAGCCACATCCCCATGGCTTCATAAGGAAATGCATTACGCTAATGACAGCCTGTCCTGTTAGCAACACTACCGACTAATGTGAGTGAGCCCTTAGCGTGTGTTTCCTTCTGTGCGCCCACCTCTGAGATTCTGAAATGAAATGTATTTAGTACTTGGTTAACACCAAGGACTTTCCTTTTAACAAAGACGGGTACACTTGTGTATGTGCTTGTGCATGTGTGTAAGTGTGTTTTTGGTTAATCTTAGTTGCATCACAGGGTAACAAAAGCTAATCAACCTCCCACAGAGCCAATCTACTGGTAAGCTATGCGCAACTGATCAATTTGATCGATCAATTTGAGACATACACAAAAAGGAATGTAATGATAGAGAGAACAAGAGAGAAAACAGTCGAAAGAAAGACTTAGGTTTGGCTGTGAGATCTGAGGAAATCTCCATTTGAAGCATTAGTTAAGAAGATGAACAACTGCCAACTTAACAGAAGTAATGTAATGGAGGAAAGTCTTACAGGATGTCATGCATAAGGTTTCATCCACATAATTCTTCTCTTTATAGTATGTAATCAGGTTTCCATCTGCCACTGGCATTCATATCCACTGTATTCATCTATGTCACATAAAAGTGAGAACATGAGATGAAAAGCATGGTGCATAGTGAATTGCTGAAAGAATTTGCTGAGCAACAGAACAGATGTCTTGTCATTTTGTTGCTATATTAGATCATATTGTTTGCTTATTCTTTACTGGAGGCACAGGTGTGCAAGTAGGTATGTGTTCAGAGATGCCTGAAAACAGTTAGAATTTGCTGCCATGAAAAAGTTGTCTCCCTTAGTTTGTGTCTGACAGCAGGTAAAACATATCTAATGCAACAAATTTGAAGTAAGTTCCCAGCAAGAACTGTGTGGCTGGATGAGTGAGCAGTGTGTGTTTTGTGGGAATGTGCATTCAAGCCATTTATGTGTGCATGTGTATGGGTGGGTGTGTGTGTGAGAGGTGCAGACGGTTTAGGAAGTTAACTTACCCCGCTCGCTGCTTTTTAGATTTGTCAGAGATTCCATCTCGAGACATGAGCTTGTTAAACACCACAATTCCAATAAGCATGTTCACCTGTGAGAGACAGAGCATTGCTATAATAGAAGGGGTTGCTAACAGGCATTCAAATTTTGCACTGTACATACAATAAACTGTGTATACTATATTGGTTTCTTAATGTTTCAGCTGACTGAAGATGACTTTGTAAATTGTCCCACAGGCTCAAGGCTAAAAGTGACAGTGCTTTTGATGTCAGAGCTCCCAGCCTGACTTGTCTCAGTGAGGTTTTATACACAGTCACATAGAATACACAGCTATCACCTTCAGTTTTCAAAAGCAGTAATGTCTATCATAATGAAGAAACTGATGTCTCAGATGTCTAAAGGCACGGCATCATGTCTGTTGAAGTTGTGCCATGTTGTCCTCACTTCTTTTGTCATGACTCATTGCACTAATAATACAAAGAAAAAAACTGAATCATTAGATAGGGCTAGTGGTTTATTAGTTCATTGTACCTGTAGCTACTGCACTTAATATAAAACAATCGGTATGGATCAGACTCATTGTCAGCAGCATCAACTCTGTGACTTACAACATAGCCAAGCACGTGGCCACCATTCTGGCTCCTTTGGTGGGAAACACAGGAAACCACATAATTAACTCCCAGGACTTCATGAGGAAAGTCAAACAACTGCAGCTGGACCAGGACAAGACCATTGTCTCATATGATGTCACATCCTTGTTCACTTGCATCCCCACCACAGAGGCTGCCAAGGCGGTGAAGAAGAGACTCCTGAAAGATGACATGCTGAACAGGACTAACCTCGCCCCAGACCATGTATGCACTCTGCTGGAACTCTGTTTAAACACTACCCACTTCCAGTTTAGGGGGCACTTCTATAGGCAGCAACATGGCTGTGCTAAGGGCTCCCCGGTATCTCCTATAGTTGCCAACCTGTACGTGGAAGAATTTGAGGAGAAAGCCCTATCTTCCTTCACTGGTACCGCTCCCAGCCACTGGTTCTGCTATGTGGACGACACATGGGTTAAAATCAGGACACAGGAGGTAAAGGCTTTCACCAAGCATATCAACTCTGTGGATATCAACATCAAGTTCACTCGTGAGGATGCCAGACATGACTGTCTTGCCTTTCTGGATTGTGCAGTCCACTTGGGAGGGGACAGAAACCCGAAGCGAGAAGTACTTTGGAAACCTACACACACGGACCAATACCTGCTTTTCGACTCACACCATCCACTTCAACACAAACTGAGAGTCATCAGAACTTTAAATTACAGGGCAGAGGAAGTGCCCACAACTGCAGAAGGGGCCAAGAAGGAGAAACTACACATCCAGAACTCCCTTAGGGCTTGTGGATACCAAAAACTGGTTCACCCGAAGGACTAAACACCCAGACATAAACAGAGTGATGTTGTATATACAATTAAGTCAGGAGTGTAACAACTTGTACATTGGTGAAACTAAGCAGCCACTGCAAAAACGCATGGCCCAACACAGGAGGGCCAACTCCAGTGGACCAGAGTCAGCAGTCCACCTCCACCTGAAGGACAAAGGACATTCTTTTGAGGACAGTGAAGTCCAGATCCTCTCCAGAGGTTTGGTTTGAGAGAGGAGTCAAGGAAACTATTTTTGTCATAATAGATCACCCCTCACTAAATAGGGGTGGTGGACTAAGACATAACTTGTCATCCATCTACAACTGTGTTTTGAAATCTCTGCCCAAACATGCCCACCAGGACAATAGGCGTCGGTCCACAGGTGAGGGTTCAAAGACAGGTAACGACGCTCACCGATACTGGGATATAACGACTCAGTCGTTAGGGGACATTGTTGGCCATCAAAAGACTGAAACATCACCGATGGGGATAAATATCTTCGACTCAACACCAGTCGGGCAGAACTGATGAAGCTTCTTGGATGAGAGGTGAAACGTCTTCAACCTAAAAACCTAGTCCAGTTGATTTTTTGCTAAGTTTTTTCAGCAATTATTATCACTCTAAGCAGTGGTAGTTAAATTTGTGCTTCATCCCAGATTCTCTTATTAATGAGGAGTGCATAGCTAAGCCTGCCAAACATCTGGCCATAGTGACCCAGTGTAACAGATTCTATCACAAATCTGAGCCAAGGCCTGTCACATCTAGACCTCTTCTTCTCTGAAACCCTGCCATCTGGGAGATTTCTGCCCTGGCAACATATTTCTTATAATCCTGATTTTCAACATTCACCCGCACTCTTTCTTGCACCCTGGCAGGTTTCTCTGTAGGGTCTCTGTTTAGGGTCTCCGTTTCATTTTTCATCTGTTTGTGTTCTTTTGGTTGTCAGTGGTGAGGTGCATTAGCAAAAACAACACTGACACTACTATGTATTCAATGTGCTCCTACTCTTATCAAGGTACTAAATTGAATGTCTGCCCAGATTTCTCTGACACCAACAAGCGGAAACTTTTTATATATTCTGTATACGGATGCTACAAATCCTAAGGAAAAAAATGCCACACTTTCATGTGGGCAGTTGAATTTCCAGTTTTTGCAGCTTTAGCAGAAGCTGGATTTTTACTTGAAGCCTATTTCTTTGCTACATCTGGCAGCTTTTGCAAATTTACTACAAAGTCTCTCTCTCTGATCTCCTTCCCTCTTGTGTGTATGTGTGGTGCTGCTGACAGCTTCCTACAATGTACCAGATTGTGAGAGCACTATTATCATGTCAGTCATGTCTGGCCCCAGCTCTGTGAGTCAGCATCATCCTGCTCAGCTATTTGCCCAAGGCCAGGTTCATTAATTAGAGAAGAGTTCTGTGGGTAGGTCTGTGTTTCTCTGCCCAATGTCCCACTCTCATTACAGCTGTTTGTTAGAGTGGGGCCCCAGTAGCAACACCAAGGGACCAGGGACTATCATGTAGCAGCTGGGCTGTGGAACGTCCACTGACATTGTGGAGGCAGAAAAATAGGAAAGTTGGAAACATACCAAGAAATTGCAGCCACTGTTGACTTTATGAGGATAACTGTCCCTTGATTTTATATGCTGGCTGCAAACTCTAACCTTTTATACACTGAGAAGGCATATACATAAGACTGATTTTATTCCAGTGTATTCATTTTAGAGTGATAAAATTATGTATATTATATTTCTTTAGATAAAACACTAACTGTGGTTACTTTCTCATAGAATTATGAGATTAAATGTGCAGGCCACATACTTTCAGGAAGGAATTTCAGGTAGGAAATTCATTATCACTTTTTATGCAGTGTTTTCTAACTATAAAACCTTTAAATAATACTAGTATTGCAAGCTGTTATATTACGAATCAAGTCATGAATATGCAACACTATATAAACCTGTGTCCCCCTATATCCCAAACTGCAACTTAAAGAAACTGCCAAACTGCTGTTCTCGCATTACGAATTTGCTAAAACAACAACAAAAACAAAACAAAACAAACAAAAATAGCACACGTGTGATGCTGGCTGAGCTATGCCCTCTCTCTGATATGCAATATACAGAAGGTGTGTAAGCAACAAGAGAAGAAAGTCCTATTACATGTGCAAACACACACACACAGGTTCAAGAGCAGCAGTGGCAACAAATACCAATGTAAAATTTGGTACCCCATCCAGATTTTTTAAGATTAGTGTTGGGAGAAATTAGCTAATCTTAGAAACAGCCACATACAGCAGCACACAACAACAGATGATTAAAACACCACTGAGATGCAATCAATGCGCTCTGTTTTGCAGTAGAACAATATAGAGCTATTGTCTGTTTTCTAGCAAGTGGCAAAGACAAACAAAGGATGTGTTATAATGGTTGTGGCACACACTGTTAGTCACATATTTATGTCTGAAAATAAGTTTGTATAAAAAGGATTTAGCCTTAAATACATTTGGTACCAGTGACTCATACTTTGAAAGTGAAATATTCAGCTGCTGGGCTAAAATTCAGTTCAGGCATCCACTGCAAGTTCTTGTCTGCTGAAATATACTTTCATTTTTCTCAGCTGACATTTTAAACTCAAGGATCAAAGTGCTCATCTCATCATTTTGTCATGTACACCTCGGGTGTTTATGCTCAGATGTATGTGGGAATGAAGAAAAAAGGGAAAATCCTGTGAGGTCAATACGCAGTTGCATTAAATCTCTGTAGCTTGGAGGATAACTTAAAACATTTGTAGAATTATGCAGTGAGAGAAAGACTATTTTGGCAAAAATTGAGGGGAGGTCTTGTTAAGACAGAATGTTGGATAGACTCACCAATACAATGACAGCAGCAGGCCCAACAAAGGCATAAAGCAGGCCACCCTCCAAGGATAACCAGCAGCTAGGGAAGGAGAAGAACAGAGGAATGGTTTAAGCACAAAAACACTGCAAAATCATGAAACTACTGGGGTGTAAAATATGACTTCACCACATTCAGGTCTTATATGTCACTTGCTGTGGGTGTCAAGTACTTTATCACAACAAGTACGCAATCAAGCATAACATTTACTTGATTGTCCTTAGCTTTTTATGTTTCTGTTAATATTGTCTTTAGGGCTGAGCAGATGTATTTTATACATCACCACATACATACATGACCACAAACTGTAAGTGGTCTTGTGAAATTTCTTTTGGCGTGAAAGTTATTGAAGCTTAATGAGTTTCAGTGTACCCTCCAGTGATGTCATCACAGCATGCTAAAAGCCCTCTGTTGTTTTAATTACAGCTCAATAAAGGGGAAGCTAATGATGAAAAACACAAGGCTCAAAAGCTAGCATGCAGTTGTCATATTAATGAGGTGTTAAGTAAAGTGAGAGGGAACATGTAAGGTGGATAATCTTGTCACCTTAGTGAGATAAATTTTATTTTAAATGCACTGAAAACTAGTTTTCTCAATCAGCTTCTTACTTCAGCAATGGCGTCCTACATAAACACAACATTTTCGTACCTTAAAATAGTTCTGATTATTCAACATGAAGTATTTCTCAATTTGTTTTTTTTTGTTTTGTTTTTTTTTCTTACTGATGTGGGGCTTAGCTGGTGACATATTTCTTTGTTCCAGTTAGAGTTTAGCAACATTTAAATAAAAGTACAAGGACAAAAGTTGGGCTGTTACTTGTTTTGCTAGTATTGTCAGTTAAATCTGATCAAACTACACCCACACAACCCTGATAAACTAGATTTAGCCATTTTGCCTCAGAGGTTTTTTACTGTTGAGGATGTTTTTCCCTACTTTAAATGACTACATGACTATTTGAAGCACCTGAAAGTATTTAAAACATAGTTTTCTGTAGCTTTAATGAGTCTCAAGTAAAATCTCCACAGCCTCTCTTATAGCTGACATTAGGAACTGTCTTGTGACAATTAAATGAGCACAAAGTGGCACAGAGGTGTGTTCTGCATTTTGCCAAAGGTATGCTGGGATAGGTTTAAGCTCCCCTATGACACAGAATAGGAATAAATGAGTATAGAAATTGGGTGGATATATGGATAGAGGAAAAACAGGCTCTTATTAATATAAATGATGCAAGAAATACATTGAGTTTAAACCGCTTTTGGAGAGTAAAGAAGCAATACTCACTAGCTGGCTGTGCCATAACCTCTTGCTCTGGTGAAACCCACTGACACTGCAACAATGAGGGCTGGAAGACCTGCAAAGAGGGATCAAATGGGTGAGAGATACCACACAAGGAGGATTTAATGGGGATGATCAAGCATGTTGGCCAAATAAGATTTTCCACTGTGAACAACTCCATATGCCTCTTCTCATTTAAATGCTAAGCAGCCATGCAATAGCATGTAACGTGCGTATACAGTATGACTAAAACCAAGTCATTCTCGCATGTAACATGCGTATACAGTATGACTAAAACCAAGTGCTCTGCAAGGTAAGTCCATGGGATCTGCTTGTGCTCCTTGACACAAAGGCCTAGCTACAGGCATGAAAATTGGGCTCAGGTCCAGTTCCATTGCAGGGATGGAATTTTTGTTTACTAATTCACTGACATCTTCTCTTGCATCTCAGTGTAAGTTATGACTTATACATGCAACATGTGTATGTGTGAGTGTGTGAGCATGTGAGACTGAGAAAGAGTTAAAATAAATAAAAATGTGAAGTATAGCTTGGAATGGTCAATAAGTTATGCATTAATTAGCTAAATCAAGCAATTTATGAATGTCTGCATGTGGGTATGTCTGTGTGCAAATGAGAAAGAGAGAGAGAGAGTGAGTGAGAGCCACAAACCGTGCGCCAAAAAAACAGAAGGAAATATGCAGGGCCCGTAATGAGCTTGGCTCTGAAATATTCATGTAATTAACAAAGCTGTGATTATGGCTGCAAATGAAAAGCAATTAGAAAAAGTCACATTAACATTAACAAATAAGATGGTGGGGAGCCAGGCTGGTCCACTATGCAGCATGCACAAAGTTTCTAAATGTCAGCAACAACATCAATTTAACATTTACTGATATAATATGGTAAACACACACCTAAACATCAGGCATACATGTTTCTGCTCATAATATAACACAGTTCCAGGCACACCCAAAATCTCCTGTTTCCATGGCAACTGATTTCAATCACATAATTGGGAAGAAAATTACAAAATGGACATGGGGAGGATAAGCTGTTTGATCCTCTCCACTCAGCTTGACTGTTTCATACACTTCATGGGCATTTGTAAGTGGATCGGATAATTCTATAGTTGCCACTGCATACTCGATACGTTTGTGCACACACACACCCATGTCAGTATCTCTCTTGCTGTCTGTGACTATTCAACAATCTATACATTCGCCCTCCCCTATATCACGTAAGGGCATCAGTGACTTGGGAGATTATACTGGAAGGATCATTATCAAGTGAAATGTGTTGGGGGTGGGGGGGTTGTAATTTCTAGGGCTATCTCAAAGCATCTTACCAATTTTTGGCAACACACTTCAAGATAGCTTAGCTTTGTGTTTCTAACATCCTCGATGCCTGCAGCATCAGGGTGTAGTGACAGCAGCAAGGGGGCTGAATGGGATAGAGGAGTGACTGTGTGCATAGTATGATATCCTTTGTGTATGTATGTATGTAAAAGTTCATGTCTTGTTTTTGCTGCAGCAGAAAAATCACATTAAAAATGGTCTTGAATATCTTGTATTTAATTCAGTCCTTGAAGCGAAAAAATTGTTATATAAGAAAATTGAATAAGAAGACAAAAAAATATGATATAAATAAGAATGAAACAAAGCATAATGTAGCCAACAATTTCGACAATACCACATAATAATTTATTGTTCTTGTAAAACTGTCTTATATCATAGAACAGTGGTTCAATCAGCATTTCATGAAAGTGTTGAAATACTGAAAATCCTTGGGCACACATGGATAGTTAATATTTTTAGCAGCCTCTTTCAAAATTCAGTAACTACAAAAATTCAAGACATTAGCACACAATGTAGTGGCCAAAATGGTGTGACCTCTGGGAAGTTACATCAGCAATTGTGTTAGGCAGTAGATGCTGATGCTTATCAAGGACTTTGCTAATCAGAATCAGATTATATATAAATACTGTCAATGCATTGTCACTCCCTCCACTATGCAAAAGTGAAGCCAAAATATTATTGTATGCCTCTGCCAACCAATCAAATTTCTGTAAATGGGACAGACAAGGTCACTGAACTTGATCTTTGACCTTTTCAGTATTCTAAGCAAAGTTCCAGAGCACATCGGTGCTCTTCCCAGTAGTGTTGCTTTCGTCAACGAAAATTCTGACTAAATATCATCGTCAACGAACCTTTATCGCGTGACGAAAATGAGACGAGACGCAACAAAAATGCTGGTCATGTGACGATGACTATAACTAAATGTATAATGCAATATTGTTGATGAAAAAAAACAAGACTAAATGTGGTTCACAAAATAAAAACTATGCCAAAATGTCTGTTCATTTTCGTTGAACAAAACGAGACAAAATGAAATGTTACAACGGTATTTCGTCTTGTTCAGTCACGCCATTATTATTATTTTGCAGTATTTCTGTTTCCTGTGTCTCGCTTCAGGGGCCACATCAGATCGCACTGCGCAGACACAGGTGACGTCACTTCCTTAAGCTCCACTCGCGGCATTATTTAGAAGACGACAACAAACAAAGTTAAGTCTGACACAGAGAAAGGCACCGATGGCCGGCCAGCTGGGGTTCGTCTTTGAGAGAAAAAGAAAAAACGACATTTGGAAAAACTTTCATTACATAGAAGTGGAAAAGAAAACAATGTGTTGTCAAAAAAGATGGGGAGAAATGTGGCCACAAAATCACACAAAATGTGTATTGGATGTATTCTTGAGTCTATAAGGTAACAATAATATAATAAGATAACCTTGTTTGAAACGGGTTTGGCTCAAAGAAACTTTTGGTTTCCTCTATACTGCTAGGTACTTATAGTATATTGACTGGGTTAAATAGAATTGCATTACTAAAAAGAGACTAAAATACAATTTTCATTGACTAAAACTAGACTAAAATGTCATCAGTTTTCGTCGACTAAAACTAGACTAGACTAAAAAGAGTATGAATGTGACAAACTAATAAAAACTAAAATGACAGCTTCACACAAAGACTAAACTAAAACTGAAATTAAAACAGGCCGACAAAAACAACTCTACTTCCCAGTTCCCAGCCACTGTGCTATGTTGTGCGGACTGCTGGATCCTGACACTATTAGGCTTCAGGGGAAGTACCTTGAAGAGGTCCAAGTTTTGACACTGGATGGCACTTGCCTAGCAGGAGTATATTTCCAGAAAGACCTGTAAAAAGCCAGCTTTTTGACAGTTATTTATGGCAGTTTTTAGGCAGATCAAAAGGAAACTAGAATTACCAGAAGTGAGGTCACAGTGATCTTGGACAATCAAAATCTAATCAGTTCATCAATGAGTCCAAGTGGTGGTTGTGCCAAATTAGAAGAAATTCCCTCAAGGTGTTCCTGACATATTGTATTCACAAGAAAAGGCTGGACAGGTGGACAAACTGAAAACCAGCCATGGCACGGAGGTATAAAAATGAGACTACAACTTCACTCACATACACTGGACTAAAATTTCTACTTTTTTCCACTACTACTAGACGAGGTAAGTAAACAGCACAGTACAGAGAAAATATAAAGATGCTCTGAGAGCTATTTTTAGAGACTAGAGCTAACACGTCCCATACATCCCTTTTTATTTGTTCATATTTTTATATTGACTTATACAATAGTGTTTTATGTAAATAATGTCTGTCTTTTAAGCGGAGAGCTGCCGGAAAAAAATTCGTTGTGCTATGCATAATGGCAATAAAGATTCTTGACCTCTTGATCTTGACCTAACACATCCCAGCTTTCTGATGTGTTAGATGTAAGCTAACTAGTAACAGTAGATCACCAGCACAATTTTCTAGCAGTCCCTACATCACCAAGCTTTTAAAAGTAAATAGAGAAATGCATTTCCTGTCGAAAATGCGTGTGGATGTTAATAAAAGCTGAAAGATCATCCTGAAAATGCCTGAAATCAATTGCTGAAACAGCTGAAAAATGAGAAGAAATGGCTCTGAAGTTCTTTGTTGAAATAGTTGAGAAGAAATGGCTGAAGATCTTTGTTGAAATAGTTGAGAAGAAATGGCTGAAGTTCTTAGTTGAATAATCTGAAGGATGAGATGCAATAAAGTAGGAATGGCTGTCCTTGAAGAGCTGAGCATTTTGATACCTGAATGGCTTTTCTAGCTGAAAGTATGCTGCACTTAAGATGTGAAAATAGTCAAATAGGACCCCACAAAGTAGGTAAAACAACTAGGTGTGAACGTGTCTGTGAGAGGAGGGGGGGTGGGGGGTGGGGGGAGTCATGTAGTGGCATGTCCCAATTGCACGGCATTGACTCAGCACTTTGAGCTCCCATTGACTTGTATTGCATAATATAAAGCTGAATAGATTAAAAAGTATAAATGTTATAAAAACGTTGAGTACAAGCAGGGATGTCCTTGAAGAGTTGAACAGATCAAGACCTCAATTG